TAAGTAGTATGAATACTTGCCCAATATGTTTTTAAATATATACATTACTAGATTAAATAATATACTAGTACATTACTAGATTATATTATAGGCAATGATTTAATAATTTAATTTTAAATAAATGGAGGAGGTACATGGAACACGCTGTGAAAATCTAAACAAAATATCTCATTACTGGGCTATCCATTGACTGATTACACCATCGTTGGAATTGAATGTAATCCATTGAACACTCCGCCCCCATTAAATACGACTGTCGGCCTACATTTTATGTAATTAACATCTGACCTAATATATTACGTACCTAGGCCTATGTGGTTGGCTACGGATAGCTAAGTGTAGAGTACGAAAAGCTAAAAAATTCATAAATGTAAAATTCATAAATGTAAAGGAAAATCATCCTAGAGCAATGCTGAAAAGCTACCATCTCAATAGAACAAAAATTCCATGTGGGACCTTGCTATCATGTATCTAACGGCAACGTCCTCGTCATCAACCACAGCACAGTGCGGCAACACGAAATGTGCTTTACATACATTCATCGCTACTGACTGATTTGAATGTGTGGTTTAATACACATAAAAGCAACTTGTAGCCTACATTTATTTCTGTAGTATCTGATCTAGACTAGGGCCTATGCCTACACACACGTACGTACCCAGCCAGCCTATTCGTCTTCGTGCTTCCCGTCTTCGTCAGGCCAGCCTGCATTTACAGTACATTGACACGAAATGTGCTGCACACATACACTCATCGCTACTAATTTGAATATTATGTGGTTTAATACACATAAAAGCAACTAGCCTACATTTCCTGTTATCTGATCTATTACACACACGCACTACCCAGCCAAATTATAGGCCTACTGTAGTTCGTCTTCCTCTAGCTCTAGGCCAGCCTGCATTACAGTAGTGTACATTGTTTATCTCTCAGGGGAGAGACCACCCACCCTACAAGCACACAAAACGGCTGCCAACTAGACTCGTGCAGACGCATTTATTAGCCGCAAAGCTTACAATTGCAGGCCGTGATTGGTTGATAAACACAATGTGGAATCAGGCGATTTGTAATCTGATCAATGACAACACGCTTTCATAGGAAACCCACCGTAGTGTTAACAAATATGATTAAAAAAACATACTTTTCACATATTTCCCGACAATATTTTCGCAAAAACTCTTCATACTTTAAATTCCCCACGCCTTATCTTCCATGTTATTGCAAGATCGGCCTAATCGCGTCACAAACAAAGGAGGAGATAGAGAGTGGGCTAAAAAATTGCAAAACCACGCAAAAATAGGTTGTGACGAACATAAAATTATAATTTGTTTAATATTAAGATACCAAGTTAAGTCCTATACTATGTGATTCAATCATTACACTTAGTTTTTATATGTCTAGTTTGTCGCCTGTCTAGAAATTATGAATTTAGACACCAAAATCATATCTGTAGCTTATTTAGTTCCAATTTTATGCACATTTTAGATAAATTTGGCGGCCGGCCATTTTGAAAAATGGCTGCCATTTGTATACAAGGCGTAAAATCAAGTGTCAACAGGGCTTAGGGTGACCAGAAGGGATTAATTAGGATATCTGACTATGTTGATTGCTTCTAACATTCCACTCCCCCTAACTCATTTTTTTCAGATTTTTTTTCTAGTCTATAACGCAGGCAAGCTCCAGTGCATAAAGTATATTTAGTTTTCATTTTTAGTTGTTTTAAACAAATAATACTGTAGGATAGGTTAAAAAAAAATACTAATTGTTCACTGAGATAAAGGAAGATTTAAGAATAATTATTTGATAAAAATTCAATTCATATAATTTGACATCATATCATTTTGCATTTCTTATACTTTTTTCTTACTATTAAATGATAATAATATGTAAAACGTTAATTCCAAGCCAGGGGTGAAAGTTTGTCTACACTGCGATTGAAGAAGAGTACTACAGGGTCAGTGTTTAAGGTGATTTAGAACGTTAGTTTACTAGGTTTACTAAATGATGTAATATTGCCTTTAAAACTTACTTTCGCTCCGGATATACTGAGACAGCTTTCACAATCTTCCATTTCCTTACATGCTGTAAGCAATTGAGTGTAAAATATATAAAATATATTATATTACATATTACGAATGTCATTCAATTGGAATTTTTTTAAGCAAAATATTAAAATATATTTAATTATCTATATTGTGCTGCTTGGACATTAGCAACACCACAGGCCTACAGTATAATTGAATCACTACTACTGAAGTACCATCATTTTATATTCAGTGACTACAGTTACAGTACACCAGTCTTTAAACAAATTCTAACTGGATGTTATTATTGTTAAATAATAATAAATAAATAAAAACTTTATTCAACTACAGAAACACTTGTTCACCGCAATGGTGTTTTTCAACAAGGCTGTTAAGGCATTGTAAAACAAAACAGAAATTAAAACAAAAAGATAAAAATAGACTAATTACAAATGAAAATCACATTACTGTAGGGCCTACTAAAAAAACAGGCCCGTAGCCAGGTTCTTCCAACTGGGGTTTTTTTTGGGTGCGAGGTCCATAGTTGAAGGCCCGGTGGGATCGACAAAACCCCCAAAGCAAGAGGATTTTTGTGCTTTATGGTTCTAAATAATGCTATAAAAGCAGGTATGTTTGAAATCGTCTGTACTGTGTCTGGGTTTAAAAACTACAATCATTTAACCTTCATGAAAATGTTATAAACTGGTTTAAGCACGACTTGCTTGATAGAAATAATTAAAAGTGTCAATGGTGTTTTCTCAAACAAATGTAAGGGAGTGTATCCGAAGTAATTCAAAACGTTACTAACGAAAATAACGCAAAATCGGAACTAACGCTACTACCGCGAGTTCGTTTATGCATCGTTTGGCGGCTTTTCAACTAACGCAGAAGATAAATGAATATGAATGAATTCTTATAAATAATTTGCATGACTCCAGTACAGCAAGGCTCAACGAGTTTGACCTCGAAAGTATCAGCTTATAAAAGTCCATGTGGTTTAGTTCTAGTAAATCATGGACGGTCCCTTGGTTACCATTAGAGTTCAACAGGACAGTCTTTAATAACATATACTGTACATTCACATTTTCTTGGTTAAATATGGTGGTGAAATATCTATCCATGGTCTACCATTACAGTAACTTAGACTAGCTAGGGCCTCGGCTAGGAGGAGGACTGGTCATGCGGTAGGCAATGCAATGGAGCCTAAATACATTCTCACAGGAAATGTATCAAAATTTTCAGGCCTCGAATTTAACCGCGGCCACCGCGGCCATTGCCGACGGTGCCCTCCCAGTTGGCCTTGGTGCCCCTGAAAAATGAAGCACGACGATGGCCACTACTTGCCTGCCCTTTTGAAGCCTTGGCCTCGGTGCCCTCACGATGCTTAATATAGATCGTTTGACACGTAAAATAAATCTAAGTAAGAACGTTTAAATCTTGAAAGAAAACACGAAACCCAAAAACGTAGGTCACCTAAGCTAGCCTAAGCCAGGTTGCAGTGACAGAACAGAACATGAGAGAATTTCCATGGTGTTGTTGATACGAACTGTTTTTGCGGTTACCGTTTTGTGCGCATGCGTCTTACTCTAGCGGTTATTGCAATATAAACATGGGCTCATTCGACTGGTTCATTTCGTTGGAACGAATTTTCGTTGAGTATTACAGTATTTTCATTCGACTGGTTCGTTAGATAGACTTCTTTGACAACGAAAATTGACATAAACCACAGTACGTTAATCAGCGTTAAGTTACCCACGTGACCAAAGAGAAACATGGTCGATTGGTGATTTTTTATTAACAACATTTGCGTTAATATAACTTAGATTAAATTTCATAAAATAAACATTATAATATTTACCCACATGGAGTCAAAAAATTATTGTAGGCAAACAAATTAAAAAAAAAACTGGATGAAAATATTTTTTTTTACGAAAAACCCATACTACCACAAGTTGAAGCAATCTTGATTACGCAATGTGTATCGCGGTAACTATACAGCCATTTTGTTTTGTCGAGTATTACAAGTTTTCTATTCGACTGGTCGTCTTCGTTGAGTAGGATGTTACCGCTGAGCGCAGGTGGGTGTGGTTTAACAAAGAACGACAAGTCAAATACGGCCTTTGTATAGTTGTAAACATGTACTTGCTGCACAGCTAACTTTGGGCGATCTTACGTCATCGCAGCTTTCGCGGCCAGTTTAGAGTTGAGGCTTCCTCTCCAATGATGACGGACTGAGCAACAGCACAAAGATATTGGGCTTCTTGAAATTTGACTGTTTTGTACGATCGCCGACCGCCGCAGTAC